GCACTGATGGCAGCACTGTAGCTGAACACGTTGGCCTGAACTTTTGCCTTGGGCATGGCCTCAAACAACTTCAATGCTTGCTGCCACAGTCTTTCCCTGGCACAGGTGGATATTCCAATTGTGACATTTGGCTGAGTGAGCTCTATGCTACCATCTTCCCGGATAGTTTCCAAAGTAGCATACACCAGCTTTGCGGCGGCCTTTTGCTGGCACAATGCCCTCAAGACAGGCCCAAGAAGTGTTTTCGAGCGCCGCACTTCTGGTAGCAAAATTGTTGCAAGAGAGTCTTCAAGATTTCCTTAGTTTCGGCAAACGGCAAACATGAACACATGGCTTTTGTGACGTACGGGTAAGGTACGCACCGCAAGTCGAGCCGACTTCTGGTAGCCGCACGAGCCGTCCACTTCTGGAGACAAGTAAGGCCAACACTTACACCAGTATCTTCAAATATCTTGATAGGGGGTAGTTCCTCTGCTCCTACTGCTTCTACAGGTATCTGGCCATGTCCAAGAAAACACAGTTCAACACATCAAGGTGTCTTTCAGCCGCTGCTTGGCATAGTTGCTGCACCAATCCATCCGCCAGTTCAGCATCCGCCAGTTCCATCTTTCTGCGGCCTTTGGACCTGGAGATGGATCTCAAAAACTCCGAAAGCCTCATCGGTGGACAGGGTGAATCCTTTTTGATTTCTGGATGACACACTTCACACCTTTTAACTTATATGTATATATATATTTCTTGGTGGGGGCTCCCGAAACAAATAAACATGTATATATTATATATATATAATATATATATATGTATATTTTGTCACCTAGTGTGGGGAGCTGTCAAATGCCTTGCATTTCCCAGGCCAAACAACCTTCATTGCCGAGCAAAAGACTGTACTCTCCCTGGAATTAACATGGAAGTGGAAAACCACCTGTTTGTAGTGGAAAATGGTCTTCCAAGGGGCCATTCTCCACTTCCATGTTAGTTCCAGGGAGTGTAACTTTTGTCTTTGCTCCTTGTAGAGGCAAACCACCATTTTTCCCACACGGTGAATGTCGGATTCATTCCCACCTCGCTGAGCTCTCTTCTCGAACTCGTCTCAAACTCCTCTGTTCTCGAAGGCGAAACAGGCCCAGCACCACCAGGAGGCCAGCAAAAGGTGGTCCAGGCTGCGATTTCGTGAAGCCGAAGGCTGTCTCGTGGTTGCAGTGAAAGGTAGTCGTAGTCCATCTGCCTCTCCTGGGATGTTTGAAGACTTTTGTTGCAAATCAGTGAGATGTCCCCTGTTGAAACCCCGTAGAAATATGCAGCAAATTTGCAATTCCATGCAATTTCTAGAAACCATCCTACATGTCGTGTCTTTTGACCTCTAGAAAAAACTCATAAACACTCACCTCAGCACCGCAGTACTGACTTGGCACTCCCTGGTTCAAACACAAAACACACAAAAACATCCAGAAGTGCTCCTACCCTGAACCTTTCCGCATCCACCGCATCCAGTTCAAATGAGGTGGACACATCCAGCACCACCCAAAGGGTAGTTTATCACCTACAGGGTGCTTTCTAGACCCCACCCCCCAAGTGGGGTGGTGCTGAATCATGAAACTCGCTCTTTCATATCTAAGTCACCAAGACTTTGAGCTCTGCTCCGCTCGTCTAGGCCCTACACTTTGGCCGTTGGCGCGGACGCTGGGCAGAGGCACCATGCCGAAGAAATACATGGCAGCAGTGGAGTGCTGGAGCCCTGTAGCCCATGACCCAAGTCCTTGTAGTCCCTAGTGTGTGGACACGATGTGTTAAGTAAGGAAGTGTGTATATGTGTTGGATATATCTTATTCCCTGTAAAAGTGGATGATGATGATGATGATGATGAGGATGACGATGACGATGACGATGACGATGACGATGATGATGATGATGATGATGATGATGATGATGGTTAGTAACGGTTAGTAAAGGCCTTGGTCTAAAATAGTGATACTTGTTTTACCGACTGTTACAAGTAATGGGACACCCCCAATGGATATACAGAAAGAGGCATTGAAATGCGCTTACATGGCTTTATTGATAATCAATAAAACGTGTGACGTACATGATACCCCTCATATTAGTCAATGCTCCGTGCTCTCCCTTTTTGCTGTTGGTTGTGATCCTCCATGGTACTCCGGCCGCAAGATGCAGGCAACAAACACACATGATGTTCCTTATTATTATCCCTCCCTACTATGCTCCTACTCCGGGCGACCACAAACAACAATGACTTGTTGTAGTTCAATGACCCATGCAATTGACAGTTCCAACCCGATCGACTCTCAATCTGCAGTTGCGAGGCTATTCCAGTAAGACAACCACTCGGTCGTTGGAAACCTGGGTCGGGGCACACATTAAAAAATCAATTGATGTGGCATGATGTGGCGGTGACTCAAACCAGACAATCCTCGGAACCTGACCCATGAAATTAAAAGAATACTGTAGATTACCAGGGAGGTCCACCTGGCAGTCTTTCGGAGCTCCGGGTTTTGACCCAAAGCCAAAGAACTCCTCCCCCAATCTCCCCGAAATGAACAGATGATGCACCTGGAAATTTGGAAAAACGGAAGTCATCATCTTCCCTCGATTGGGTCAATTTGGATCGGCATGGGAAGGTCCCAAAATCATCCAAAATCCATCTCTTGGGAGGCAAAGCGCCCAGCGACGCAGGGCTTGGACCAAATTCTGGCTAGTCCATGTTTGATCTCACACTGTTTGTTTTCAAACATTTGGACAAAATACAACAAAGGCCAAGCCGCCAAGCAGTCAATTCAATTCATCGACCAAGATTACCTGACCATACCCCCCTTGGATCGAAGATTCAACGCCGTTACCGTCGTTACCCTGTTCTTTTTGATCAATTCTCCTCTAACTCTTTCTCTTGCCTTCCTCGCTGAGATCTGTATAGATCTGCCAAGAGACACTGACCATGCACAGGGCAAGATCATCACGGGACTCGGCCCCTGATATCCAAACTCCTCCCTGCACACAACGCAGCTCTGCGTTCGAGATCGTCTCTGGTGTTTTCAAGGCCAACCAAGAAGTATGGCTTTCATGTACTGTTTTGCCCTCAAGACCTTGCGACAGCGGAGAGAAGAAACATCAACAACAATAAGGCCCTGATGAATGTATGATCTTGACTTCCAAAACACCATACCCACCTGCCCAACAACAAACATCATCAAGCAACTCATCATCTCTATGCGCATTCCCAGGCCTCTATGACGTCTCCGCACAAGATGGTTAGAGTCCCTGGAAGAATCATGGTTACGACGAGTGGAGTCGATTTCAACACGCAGATCATGTCAGATTCTTTCGGGGGCCTTTTGCCATCCATTGGAATCCACGTAGTGAACCATGATTCTTCCAGTGAGTGTAGAGACTTCACGGAAGGGAATAAGGATTCTTGATCTCTTGATTATTCCAGGGAGTGTAATTGCAAAAGGAAAGCGCACCCGAAGAGCACGGCCGGGCGCCGCGCCTGAAGGAATGAAGGGTGTTGATGATCGACTGGTCCTGCTTGCGAAACCACGAATCACTGCAGCACCCTTGATCCTAAGGCAGGTCCCTGGTCGCACAGGAAATTCACGGTGCTTTGGAGCATGAAACTGGAGAATTGACATGTTATATAAGCCCTTTATTGGCTGGGTCTTTGGCAGGTTCTAACAAAATAGTCCATTAAATGAAAGAGACCGAAGAAAGGACACACCAAATATATATATATATAATATTCAAAAACATCCCTTCCTCCAAGTGATCCTGAACAGGACCCAGGTTCAGATCGTTTCATCCTTTATTGAGAGAAGGTCACTGGGAAGTGCCCACACTGTTGGGTGGACTCCCGACACGAGTAGCACAGCATCCATGAGCACCCCAAAACCCAGCCTTAACCCTTACCGTACAAGGGTTAGGGTAAGGGTTAAGGCTGCCAAAACCTCTCCACACTGGTCCAACACTGTTTGACCACACTGTTTTAGGAAAACCTCTCCGACTTCATTCACGCCCGCGAGTGCGAGCATCTCCCGAAGGCAGGTGGGGTCGTAGCGCGCACGCTGCTGGTCGTGCACCGCTTGCAAGGTCAGCTCATGGAAGCGTCTGCTACGCATGCGTTCCACGTGGTAAAGCCTGGGGCGACAGTAGTTTTTGGCGTTGTTGGTGATGCCCCCCCCCGAAACCCTGGTTATGGTTGAGGCTGAAAGACACGCAGGAAAAAGCAGGTGTTGATGTTGATGTCCAATCATTGTGGAGGGAGTTTGGAGGTCAGTGCAAGCATGCCTGGGTATGAACACAAACAGAGAAACGTTCAATTGCGTAGTTGGGTATCGGTATCTCCTTTTACCAACTGGACTCTACCTGGACTCAAAGCCACTGGAGTTTCCTTGCGGGGCAGCAACCTACACCGAAACGGCAGGATCGTGTTGAAAGGAAATGCCACCCGACCCAACGAACAACTTAGATGATCCTAGATGCTTCATGACATCCAAACAAACAAGTATGAGTCCGTCACCAACATGACCTTGCCGAGTCATGATGTGCTCTCAGTTTGGACAGTAGTTTAGGTCCTAAAATCTTGGACCCCCCATCACCTTTTGGATTTGCCTGGTTTTGGCCTACACAAACACTGCTTCGATGCTCACTCGCGGAATGTCCATGTAGTGTGAAGCCTGACGTGGAGGATCCGGTGAGGTGGGACAATGAAAAAACGAGCTGTCCTGGAGTCCTGCAACCCAAAGGTTCAGGTTATCTAAGTAAATCCAGCTGAGGCACACCACTCCGGCATTGATATGACCTGGGAACACTGGAACCAGCGCTTTCTAGGTGCACCAGCTGGCAAAGTGTGAAAATCTGACACTCTTTGAATAGGTGACAAATGGCGCCTTGACCGGAGAAAAGACATGTTGTATATACTGTATATGGAACTGAGCTGTTGTCAAACCCATCTTCTGTTCATTGAGCATGTCCAACTTCGACAGGACACTGGCCAACACTTTAAGGCATGCCTGTTCTTTTCGGATCATCTAAAAGTGATCATCTGCCCCCGGTTCTTTTCATCGCAACACATATCTGGTTCATTGTCTACCGAAAGCTCGTCCGGTTTGTTTGTCATGATACCTAGGAGGCCACTATGTTTGGGGTTTATAGATCTAGAGCTTTGAGCTTTCCCAAGATTGGCCTTTGCGATTTGAGATGATTTGAGCCAGTTCTGAAAAGGCTATACCCCTCTTGAGCATGTGAATGGCGGCACTGCGCTCTCAGTGGAGCTGTACAGAACAAAGAAAGACGTCCACCAACCCCAAAACGAAGCTTGAAGGAAGAAGTCCTTCACCATGTTGGAATATATGCCTACATTGCTTCTTCCTTCACCATGTTGGAATATATGCCTACATTGACCCCCAAACCACCCTAATGTACGAGTAGTTACATCAATGGGGCATAAATGGAGTCTCTGGGATATACTACAAAGATATGCAAAACCTGGCGAATGAAGCCATCAGGTATGATCTATGTCACAGCTGAAATCCTCTTTTGATCTCTTTTGCAAACAAAAAGTCCTCAGCATGTGGACCCCATGAACGTGCCTCAAATTAAGGTGTACCACGGATTTCCTTCAAAGGAAATTCCGAAGACGGAAGGCCGGGAAACACAGGAGGAGCAAGAAGCTACTAGGGGCTCCTGGCCTTACTACTGCAAGAAGCTACTAAGCAGCGATTCCCTCGTATCCTTTTTGGATCCTTTTGGTTGATCTTCCCCACCATGTTTTCTCCAGACCGTTGACGGACGCCTTCCAAGAGGCACGATTTTTTGTCCAAGAGGCTCAGGGCCACGGCATGAGAGGCCGCTAACCTCGATCGAGCATGAGAAGCAATCGGATTGCATCGACCTTCCACTCGACTGTTCGGGAGATATTGGAAGACCATAAAATGATATTAAAAAAATATGTTTTTTTTTCAAATAAGGAAACACATGCAGAAACAGAACGATTATTACATAGTCGGCTTCTTTGAATATGTCAAAGCCTTTGTCTTCCCTCCTTCGGGTGAGGCCTGTTGCGACCCGTGGGAGGTTTCTTTTTAGGTGGACAAGTGACCCTGCATGCGGTATGCTTGCTTGAACACGTGTGATTTGTGGATGCACAGCGGAGAATCTGGATTTCCTTGTGGCATGCTCCTCTTGGTCACCAATTCAGCACCTTGCAAACTTCAATCAACCATATCAAACCAAAGACCCACTTCACGAAGCCCAAATCAGTGAGAAACTGACAAATCCCAGACTCCCAGACCATCCATGCCATGTATGGAAATGGCAAATGTATATGGATTAGTTACGACCACATGGACTGGATGAGCCATGTATGGCGCCTCTTCCGGTCGCATTTGTCTGGTCTGGGGAACGGCAGGTTTCAACCAGTGCAGAACACCTGACCTGATTGTTTTTAGGTGTTCTGCACATGGTTGAAAGGCTTTCCTGTTTTTAGAACACCTGTTTTTGCATGCTTAGGAAAGCCTTTCTACAAGCACCATTTCTGGGACATCTCACCGTTCTTGATCTCAGGATCTCCGAAGTAGCACAGAGCCATCCCTATTCCGCGCGCTTCATGTTCAGTTGCCAAGAAGACGTGTCACACCCGGTCCCAAAAGCGCTGAGTTTCCAGCAAATGATGGTCCTGGGTCGCGACAAAAAGCGTTCATGCATGCACGCCAGGTAGAGCACGGGCCACTCGACGAATATGACCAAACAAAAAATAATGCATAAAGAATAACTATACAACAACACCATGCATAACATGGGATTGATTGACATGCTTGTTCCAGGGCATTCATGTCACCGGCATGACCTATTGGGATCTTCTCCGTCTTCTTGTCACGGTGCCATGACAAAGTCTCGGCTCGGTGGAGCAATGCATAGCTTGCCTTTCCAGGGCGGTGGTCAAACCAGATCCTTGGCCATCCTTTCCCCAAATGTGGTCGTAAGGCTAACTGTCACTCTTAAATCGCTACCTGTCACTATTCTGTCAGTATATCTGTTGTGCCCACTAAATGTCGCTTCTCGCTTCTATGACATCCAACAAGCCGTGCATTCTTCGGGAACTACATCGAGATGTATCGAGATAGATGAAAAGCGTCACCGCGAGTTCCCGCGAGTTCCTGCGAGTTCTCCTCCAAAGCAGTCCCACACATCGGTACAGGGGTGCGTTGCTAGTTTCAGCTTCGGTGCCAAGAGCTGCTGAGAGTCGAAACGAGGTGATTTGCTTCATGGTTGGAATTTCTGCCACTCCTAGTCTTGCGGGGACCGTGGATCACGCCTCCTCCACCACTCAGTGTGATTGAGGTCTCTTTTGGCGGGATTTAACTTCGGCCTTCGACCTTTACAGAACTCTTGGTCAGGGGATCGGGCTTGCAGTGTATGCACACCTTGTTTCTCAGTTCAGATCAGTACTCCATGCCACTCCTATCGTCACAAGAGCATGTTCAGGTTATGGATTCCCAAGCCACCAGTCACCACCCAAATCACCACATTGCTGCCAAAGATCCTCCATGTTCTCGAACTCTTGCCATAAGTTCCTGGCGCATCAGTTACCGTGCACCGCTCCCACCACCGACACCGCCCCGTTGGACAACCAAAGAACACGCAAGACTGCTGTGACCGAAAACCACCTGCTTTTGGGCAAACAACCAAAACAAATCAAAACAGCACCTCTACAAAACAAGGGTCACTTCAAACCAAAGTCCCTAAAATACAAATCTAATTTGATGATCACCTGTGTGCGGACTGAGATCCTCGACTGTCCCTGTGACTCTCGTGGCGTTTTCGTCACGCCTGAGATCCTCGAGCACCAAAACGTCGCCCAAATCCAAAGAGATCACCTTCGTCACTGAGTGCGGAAGCACCTTGGACCGGCCCGTAGACGTGCCAATGCGGAGGTGCGGGTGGTGTGGTGAGTGGAAAGACCTATAAGCTGGGTTTGCAGGAACCTGGGTGGTACAGTTGGTGAAGTACTACGTCATTTCTATTTTATTTGTTTGTCTCCGGTTTCACATTCGTCTGCGCCATCCGAACGACCCAGGCGAAGAAGTTCCGGTTCCGCAACGCACGAGGGTTTGACAGAAACGGTTAACATTTCCACCAACCGATTCCCTCAAGAGGAAAGGACACTGAAGAGTGACAAGTATACCGGGAAATTGACTTGAGGGAGATCCATTTGAGATTAAAAACAAATTGATTTTGTTGTATTTTTGGGTGTTTTCGTCCTGACATTCACCGTAAATAAACATGTTGCCAGCACCAGTGCATGGATGAAACATTCACAAGTGAACCGTCTATAAGCCCCGTGAGAAGGATATTTTTGCAGGTGGATTTTGATCAGATGCTATGGAGAATGAAAAAGTTGTCGTTTAAACAAGTAAACACTCTATCGGGTTTGTAGGTCAAACAAACAATACAAAAACCTAACACTTTTGATGTTGTTTAATCTTTTAGGCTATTAGTTAAACATCGTTTCTGACAATAGTTTAAACACACGTTTAAAATTCCCTGGCCCCTACCTATTAAGGGAGTGACCTTAAAAACTACAAGTTGCAATATCTGGGGGTCATGGAAAGTGAATCTTAAAAATGTAAGCTTACATGTTTCTGGGTAAGCGTGAAAAATGTAGCCTACATTTTGTTTAATGAGCCTAAAATGTAACATACATTTGCTTCAGACCACCCTTAAAGACAGGAAAATGTAAGCTGCCTTGGGTTAGGCTACCAGAAAGCCATAGAAGACAATAGAAGGTAACTTAAGAATTTACCTTGTGGGCCGAAAGCGGGAGACCTGGCCAAGGAAGTGTGGAGAGACCCAGAGGCAGCCTTCCAACAGCACGGCAACACTGGGGTGCATGGATGGCGGAGGTATGCCGCAGATGGGCCGACAGCTGGTCTTGGCAAGAAGGAGACCGCGAGAAAGCCCCAACGCCTGCGCCTGGGGCCACCCAGAAGGCCATGGCGGCAAGGCAGGCCCACGACGCGCCCAGCACGAGTCGAGTGCTTTCCTCAACTGCGCTGTCACCAATGGAACCACGCAGAGATCAAGCGCCCTCGTCTCACGATGGACCAAGGTAGCGTCTCAACCCCCTTCAACCGAGCCGGTGGAAAGTGAGGATCCTGCAGAACAGGAATCCGATATCTTGCACAGTGTACGGCAAGGGTTTGTCAAACCTTGTTCTTCCTAACATCCCTTCCGACTCCGGGCAAGCCCGAGGTTGTCGGCGGAGGAAGACGTTGTGATTATCACAGGGACCAGCTTCCCACTGGTCCCGAAGAAAGCCCAGCGTTCTGGGCTGCCCTCTTCTTTGTCTCTTTGGGCACAGGAGTGCTTAACCAAGGAAGACACTGAGCTTTCAGCCGATCGCCGTTTTCCTCGGACTGACCACGAGATTGCCACTAAAATGCTCAAAGTTTGTAAGACCGGGCGTTTTGGCATCATCTTTCTTTGTATGTTTTTGAAAGTTTCTTTGTATGTGAGTTGCTTGGAGGGGTCCAACAATGGAATCTCCCAATGAAGTGGCTGCGCCGTCTGCAGCTGCCCCTGCGCAACCTGATCCTCCACGTCCACGGGCTGATCCTCCATGCCTTTTTCTTTGCAATTTTCGGAGCATTGCTGCAACCCAGGGCACAATTCAAGCCATGCTTGAATCTTGTGGATGCAGCGGTGGAATACAACATATCCATGTACCATCGGCTCAGCCCTATGGCCAAAACAAAGGTTTTTTGACAAGAACCTGGTTTTGTGTGTCAAACCCCGTAGTTTCTTAGGTACCACCCTGGCCATATCGAAAACCAGGTTTTTGGACGTGCCTGGCATGTTGGAAGGTGAAGGCTTCTTCTGTGAGGCCATTTGGGCTGAATACAAATCTGTTTTGACTGTATGTGGATGATGTATGGAAATGTTTGGAGCTAGACCAGCTCAAGTCTCCACAAGAACCTGACATTGAAATGCTCTCATTATATGCCCCTATAATTGTTTAGGGCTGTGACAAACACCAAAGCTTGAGTTCATTTCATTCCGTCCCGCTTCTTGCCAAACTCTGGCATGGACCCAGCGCTTTGCCCTTCTTTCATCGGACAGCAAAGCAGATCGGCCGGAGACTCAGGCCATCATCAGTAAGCCTGCAGTGGTCAGTCCCAAACATGCTCGAACATTGATGCCTGTCTCGTGAATGAATGACGGACCTGGGCATTATAGAATTTGCTTTTTCATACCTAAAGCCATTTTTGCGTGCTCAATCCTAGCTGGCATTCTGTTTGGCAGCGCCTCGATGCCGTTCAAGGACAAGGAGGGCAAAGAGCTTCCCACCTGTGAGATTTCACGGGTGTACCGGGAGTGGAAAGAACAACCCGCTGTTCGTCAAGTCGCAATCAGAGCCGATCGATTGTTTGAGGCTTCTAGGCCACCAGCTGCAGATGGGGTCCCTGCTGGCATCAAGTTCGGTATTCGGGATGCAGTCCACAATCAATTCGTTCTTCGGCCCTTACTACAGCGCATGGCCCAGAATCCACACCACCCTGTGCCATATGTGAAGGAGCTTGGTGCAGAGAGTCTTGCCCAAGCCTTATACAAATTGTTTTTATATTTGTAGAGCAAATATATGTACCTTTGTGTATGTTTGTCCAAGGTTGACCGGTTGACCCTCTCATTTGTCAACCAGGAGGCACCAACTTGTTTGACCAGAGAATATGAAATATGGGCGGTGGTTTCCCTGAGCAAACCATCATCATATGTGTATATATTTTGTTTGTGAGGAGACTTGTAAACAAGTTAGACAAGCGTCAAAAAATTGAACTCTATATATATTGCAGCCTCTGGCAATCCTTCCATGGATGGACCCTGTGATTCAAGCGCATGTGAGGATCAAGCTGTTCAGAAGCAAAATGCACCTCATCCCGCAGAAGGACAAAGTCAAGCTCGATGCCTGGACGGCCAAAAGCATGCTCTCTTTCATCAAAATGCGAACTCACAAGAACCTGGGTTCACATGTGGCTTGGGTGCACTAGCTTGCATGGCTTTACCAACCCCCGTCACAATTAAGGACATGTCAAGCAATCTGTCGTTTTAATGGAAGTGCATGGTTGGTCCCATATACAATTTGGGGTGATTATGCCGTTGGGACATATACAGAGTCCTAATGGTCTTCTTACTGTTCAGTTTGATCGCCGAGCTGCTCGACAATCGCTTAGTCCTTTTACAATTAAGGACCTTCACTTCTTGGCCCTTCAGCGAATTCTTGACCCGGACATCCAGGCGACGGTGTATATAGTTCCAAAAGCTATTGCGACACAATGTCTATATCTTCAGCGTGCAAAGTTCATGAGCGGTAAAGCGTATATATATATATATACATACACACATTCACAATGTGAGCTGTGCATGAGCACTGAAAATTATACATGCGTGCGCGCTGTTTGTTGAAGACTTGCCAATACTTGTCAGAAAACATGTGCACTTTTGCTGGATTGAATCCCTTGCAGCCTCGCAATCAATGGGAACCTGATGGACCAGAAAGCGATGGAGAAGGAGAGTCAGGAGCGGCTAGTGATGGCTTGATCTATGACCAGATCGATTATGAGGTCGAGGAAACTGAGGACGCTTGGTTCGATCAGTTCATCAGCACCGGCTTGTCGGGATCGACTGATCAGTCTGATGTTGTGGTTGAAGAATCTGAGCCTGTTCTGCCAGACCACTCCAGCCAGACCACTCCTGTTCTGAAAGATGTTGAGATGGCAAAGCAGCCGCCGCGTCCAGTGGCACGTCCACTGGCTCCGTCGCTCAACAAGCAGGCCGAGGAGTCAGTGCTGATCGAAGACTCACCGGTGAAGATGGAATTGCAGGAGGTCGAGGATATTCCAGTCAGGGAGCCCACCAAAGAAGAACAAGCCCAAGCACTCCGAGAGCAAATCAAACATTTGGAGCAGCAAATGAAGGAAGCAGAGTCCCGGGCTTATTTGCTGAAATTAAGGATGTATATATAAGCAGTTCATTTTTACTTTGAAGAGGCATTTTCAAGAAAGCTGCCTGCTTTACTCCAAAGAATTCTCAAGTTGAAATGCTGCAAAACTAAAGCACTGCCTGTTACCCTTGCACTGCTTTTGTGTTGCGGGTTTTCAACACGAGTTCTGTCATTCTTTGGTATAGATGGATTGTATTAAACCGGTGTACCCATTGTGGTCCCATTGCGGTATGTTTGTCTTCTTGCCCTTCAAGCACCAAACATGGATGACACAGAAAACTAAATGGAATGTGCCAACACAGCCCTTGCGCATGAACCGATGTGAACTGACTGATATAACACTACACCTTGAAATGTGCCAAGGACTCTCCAAGCAAAAATCACCGCAGACATCCAGTCGATTCCTCCAGTCACAGGTGGGGCACTGATGGTGATGGAATCACTTCCCATGGGCGGAGACACTGACCCCACTATCCCAATGGATTTGACTGGTGGGATGACCGCAGCAGTGGCTGAGATCATTGAGAGGGGCGAGCGTGTGGCTACTCCTGCAGACCCGCCCCCAAAGGAGAAGGAGCAGGCCAGGGTGTGTTCTTTAACAGGTCACAACCTTTCTGGCAAAACACTGGCATCATGCACAGGGCACAATGCCACTCCTGTCTGTTTGTGTGTTCGCTCAATAAATTTATATATAGTCATGTTTGACCCCACCCAGCGACACGTAAAGTTGGTATATATATATATATGTATATATAGGTATATTTTGTATGTTTGTCATGGTCCTGCTGTTTTAGACTTCTCTTTACTTATACCCCAAGACCGATGTAAATTTAACTTTTCTGTCCCGACAGGTCTCTTTGTAAGTTCACTGGCTTAAATCATGAGAACCTATATACCTGCCTT